AAAATTGTGTATCAAAACAATGCCCTTCACTGCCTATTGAATAGTGATGTGGGTAGAAATAGCTGTATCCTAGTAGGCACCTCTGAGAAGCTGGTTCTTTTATTTCTTCCTCACTTTATCTTAAACAATCTGTTATGGAGTAAGAAGTGCTCAGGGAATGCCTGCTTAGCTCCTCATCCATATTTTGGCTCAGCAGCATCCATTATTACCATCAGGTTAAAAAAAAGAAGAAGAGAAAAGCCATTCCATCCTGTTTTACAATCTGTATCTTCTGGGAATAATCCATCTCTTCAGGATGTCCTAAATTAACCTGCTGTTCTCTCTGTTTCTCCTCTCTTTTCCATCTTTAGGCTTTCATGGTGATTCCTTGTCTAAGCCAACAGGTTTGCCTTTGGCTCCACTGGACTCAGAACCGTCCTCCTGCCTGCCTTTGGGACCCACTTCTTCAGGCCCAAGGCCTCTGCTTGGCTGCTGCAGAACACCGGCCTTCTCCCTGGCTGAGGCACAGCAGGAGTTGCAGATGCTGCAGAAGCAGCTTGGAGAAAGTGAGCCCCTTGGCCTTCCTGGCCCAGCCCCCCATCTGGCATGCAGCTTTGCATGGTGTTCTGCATGGTCCCTTCACCATTGCCAAGGATAGCAGAGGCCATTGTCTTCTTCTTTCCTTGGTAATTTGTGGCTGACCTTTTAGAGGTTCCAAAGAGGGAGTGCAACTGAGGAACATGTACAATCATAGATAGATTCACTGGTGTGATTTATTTGGAGCTTTTTTTGGGGGGGGGGGGTTAGTTCATGTTGCTCTGATCCAACAATTTTGTGCTTATGAGGTGGTTCAGATAGTTTGATCAGACAATAACATGTTCATCATTAGTACACAAAGACAACTCAAAGTCAGTTGTTTGATTAGAGACAGTCAACAGCTTAGCAAAACTGCTGGGCTGTGGTGGGCTAGAAAACCTTTAATTATAACTTGGTTTCTGTGACCATGAATTACATGTCTTTGGTGTCTCATAGCAGCACAACACACTAAAATACAAACTAGCTTTATTTTAGGCTACCATATTATATGAATCCAGTTCTTGATCATTTATGTGTTGTACAAATCCAAAAAACTGGATTGAATAAACTTTGATTAAGTGAATCATGGCTAAGGATCTTAAGTGATAATCACTGGTTTCTCAGTATTTTCCCTCTAGAAAGAGATCAATGGGTTGGAAGAGTAGCTATATCTTCCTGTGAATAGGAAAATATTTAATTGCCCCTCTTAAGATGGAGATGTTAAACAGTCAAATTATTACTACAATACAGAAAGGTTAGTGCCCTAACCTCTCATTAATATCTCTAGAAGAAAAATCCCAAAGGCCATTGGCGTCCATGATGGGGGTAGGAGTCAAATTGGGCAAGGTAATAATCTTTATTATTTATTAAAGTTGTATGCTGCCCAACTCTCAAGGACTCTGGGAGGCTCACAAAACAATCAAAGAAATTACAATAAAATCGATAAAACATAAAAGATAATGATAAAAGATGCAAGCAAAACACACCAGATGGAAAGAAGCCCAATGCCAGAGGCCTGGGTGAAGAGCCAGGTCTTCACGGCTCTTTTAAACTATAGCAGAGTGGGAGCCAGATCTCAGATCTCAAGGGGAACCCCATTCGAGAGGGTGGTGATGGTGGACATTGCTTTGGAATACAAGTTCTGCCTTTTTCGGACATGTATTAACATCACACACACAGAGACAAAGAGGCAGGGCTTGCATGAGTATGCTGTTTTGACATACAAACACATACACATCCATGGATGCTGCTGAGGCAGGCTGTTTTTATGTTGGGTTTGGTAAGAACCTACCAGGCACCAGCTACAGCCAAACTCATCCTTTGATTATCATTCTGCCCAGTGCTTCTGAGGGCAGACAGACACACATAGGGAGAACAGAAATGTACACACAGATGCAACATATTACTTCTTTACACCAGAAGAAAATACAAACAACTGCTATGACCCCTTCTGGTGAAGCAATTGAAAAGAATTCTAGAAATCATGCTCCATGGATTTTCCAAAGTTTAGGAAATTCCAGTTGCTGATGTCCTGTTATTTGTTTCTAATTGTTAAAACTCTTAATTTCTGGTCATTCCTTTTAGGTCTTTCTTTCTGACAATATCTTTTTATTATCAGAAAATGTATAATTGAAAGAAATGGCTAGCAATGTCTTTTTATAAAAGTCCAGAAATAATTCACTTTCTTTTTCTTTTTCATTATATTTTTATGAAACATTTTCGAGAAAGGAAGAAAAAAGAGAAACAAAGAAGAGGCCAAAGAGACAAAACAAAGAAAAATAAATCACAAAGTGAATAAACAGGAAATTTAGAAGCATCACAGAATTAAATAAGACTAAATATTTCAATATTTCATTAGTTTTACAAAGCTGAATATTTTATGTCATTTTAAAAACTGCAATCATTGTTAAAATCCAATTAGTATATAATTATCAATGGTAATAATTAGCAAGTACAAATCATGAATAACATAATTTCTGTCTGAAGAGTAAGAGATCTGTCCTTATTTAACAGGTCAGTGAAAATTAGAATATTAAGACTTTATATTAAGAGAAACTAAATTTCAGATGTATGGAATATATATATAATTCTGATATATGGAATTATAATCCTAAAATGGTTTCCAAGTTACATTATTTTTCAATAGCAAAGTTATTTTGGACACAGGCCTACTCCCACAACTTAATTACCCATTCTTCTGCCGATGGAACCAAAACTAATGTTTTCTGATTGCATCTATTTTCCTTCACCCTCCAATACCATGGTTGACAATTTGATTTCATCTCCTCGTAAAAAATTTGGCACTAGTTTTACTGAAACTTGACAAGTATGGTCTATAAAGTACAGGAAGAGCTTGTCCCTGTAGAACTGTGCCAATATGGTGATACCCTCTCATTTCTAGCGGTCAGATATCCCTGTGCTATGATGAAAGATTTGCCCAGAGGAGCTCTCCTAATCACTTTTGTTCCAAGTTGCCTTTTGTTATATTCACAGTGCTGTAGGCCCTTTTTTCCAGATTCCTCTTCTATGGGAGTGGGCACGATATGCATTCCTCATTTGGTGATTTATCTCTGTACCTTGGCTTCCTATATTGCCATCAATAAAACAGAACAATTTATTGGACGTTTTGCTGCAGGTGGCCCAAGTATCTCCTCCAAAGGCAGCCCTCAGGCTTTCCACCATGTTCCCCACTTGTTTCATATGCAAAATTCTGCTGATTGGAAGACCAAATCTAAGGAACAACGGGAGGAGAGATGCAGCCCTTGGTGTACCCATCCACTCAGACAGCCTCGAGAAGGACTTACCTCCGCATCATGTTGTTCACCAGCCGTTCCTTTCCAGAAACTCTTGGGTAAGTTTTGTGATTCTACCCTTCAGTGAATGATATTAGGGAATTGATTCCAGTATCACAAACCAATTGGTCCTTTAAATTATTTAGGCCATTATGCATAAGAGCTAAATAAACCATTGGAAATTTGTTTCCAGATGAGTTTTATCATGTCTTTGTTTTTTTTCCTCCTTGGGGGTAGAATGCATGCCATTACTTATCATGACAAGTTACAGTGTGAATGATACTACTACTAACTTATAAATGTGAGCATTTCATCTGATCAATTTCTTATGCCATGAATTTCCAAATGTGCTAAATTTAGCTCAGATCTTTCAAACATTACTATGATTCTCTTCTCCATTCTGTCTGCACCCTTTGTTTTCAAATGAACATAGGTGCTGATTTTCTAGAGGAACACATGTTTGAGATTCGAACTCTCTGCCAGCACCTAGAGAAGTCCATCTACACCAATGATCATTTGCGGGAGCAACTGGAAATACACCTCACCTCAATGGCAAAGAATAATGGTGCGAGAAAAGCAGAATGATCTGCTCTTGGAGTGTCAGACTAAACATGGGTGCTCTGTTGTCAGTACCTAGATCTTACTTCCATCTGCATCCATCTCTTGGACTAAGTCCAACTTAACAGAAAAAAAATAATAATAAAATGGTCTGGTGGTGTCAGTAGGAGGTTTACAACTGGTAGCAACTTTTGTTGAAAGAAGCCACAAGTTATTAGATATTACTAAAAGGTCTGGCCAATGAAGAACAATATTGTTTGATGAAGTAACACAATATAAATGCTGTGTGGGATTTCCACTTTAACTTCATTTTCATTAAAAAGCAGTGCCTTAGCTGCCATGGTTTAAGTATGGAAACATGTCCAGTCTTTAGTACTCTAAGACTCATAATCGAATGCAAAAATCTGGTAAAAAAAAACAACCCCTCTATTTTCCTCCTGTAAGTGAAGCAGTGTCCAACCATTAGGAGGGTAAGTGACTTCTGAGTGTAGAGTTCCTTTGCTGGTTGGCTTCTGTTCATTAATTATGCCACCTGCTAGCATATCACCTTGAACAGCTTGTAAAATCCAGCTTTCGGAGAGATCTCACATCCAGAAAGCAACATTCATATGCCAGCAATGCTTCCAGGCAGTCAGCCCCTGACATTTGTAAATTTATTTATTATTTATTTATTTATTATTAAATTTCTCCCCCGTCCATCTCCCCCCAATGGGGGACTCTGGGCAACTTACAAAAAACATTAAAACCATAAATATATATAAAATACATAATACATCTAAAATTTAAAAACAGTACTAAAAAAGGAAAATCCAAGAAGATGGAAAATCGGCCTGAGGACTGCTGGCCACTATGGGGCTAGCCATCCCAAAATACATAATACATCTAAAATTTAAAAACAGTACTAAAAAAGGAAAATCCAAGAAGATGGAAAATCGGCCTGAGGACTGCTGGCCACTATGGGGCTAGCCATCCCCCTGCTTGAAGTATTCCCTCCCCACCCCAGGCCAAGTGACAGAGCCAGGTCTTCAAGGCCCTTCGGAAGGGCAGGAGTGAGGGGGCCAATCGCACCTCCATGGGCAGAATGTTCCAAAGGGCGGGGGCTACCGCAGAGAAGGCCCGCCGTCTGGACCCCGCTCAT